AGAGAACCAGACCTTTGTGATTCCACCTCTGATACTGGCTCCTTTTGCCATATGTGGGAAGCTACTTTATATTTCTGTCTCCTCTATTAGTAAGATGTAAGAAAGATAAGAAAAACAATCTTTTAAACAACTCTAAGTGTGACCCTAATGTCATTCCCAGTTGCTAAATATAATATTTAATGTCACTGGGTCAGCATGAAGATTTCACTGAAAAGACAAGATATAGGCTAAGGCACAAAAATCTTATCACATTTCCACAAAGCAGCTCACTTATGAGGCAAGGAGTGAAATCCCCAACTAACCAGATAAAGTCAGATGATGCTATTACTAATTAAATTTAATGCTAACTAGTAAGAAACAGCCAAAGTTCTCATTCTGTTTTTACCTAAAGAAACTGGAAATGAAGCCGCAGTTCAACAAGTATTATGCAAGGTATACTGCACACTTGGTCCTCTGGTAGGTGCTGAAGGGCAAAGGTGTCAAACACACCCAAGGCCTGTAACAACATTTCAGAATGTCCCCAGACCAGATTGAAATGTAATTGGGAATACATAAGTAATCAACATGTGTGAACAAATAGTTCTCTAAACAACTGCAAAGTATTCACAACCACTGCCAAAAAATAAATGCTCCAAATCACTAATAATAAGAGAAATACAAATCAAAACAACCCGGAGGTTTCACCTCACACCCTGCAAATTGGCAAAGATGAGCAAAAAAAAAAAAAAAAAAAAAAAGGAAGGCACTAATCAATGATGAGGGGTTGTGCAATGACAGGCACACTTACACATTATTGGTGGAGCTGGAAAATGGTACAGCCATTTTGAAAAGCAATTTGGAATTATGCAAATGAAGTTACTAAACTGTCCTCATCCTTTGACCCAGAGACTCCACTAGTGGGTTTATACCTCAAAAAAGCCATTAATAAGAAGAAAGTCCCCATGTACTCCAAAATATTTACAGCAGCACTTTTTTGTGACGGCTAAGAATTGGAAACAAAGTAGATGGCCATCAGTCAGGGAATGGCTAAATAAACTATGGTACATGAATGTAATGGAATACTACTGTGCTATATAAATAATGTGTGTGATGAACACAGAGAAGCATGACAAGATCTCTATGAACTGATGCAGAGTGAATTCAGCAGAACCAAAGACAACAGGCAATAATTACAACAACGTAAATGGAAAGAACTGCACACCAAAAAATCAAAAGTAAATGTAACAAAATTATAAAAATCGGCAGGTCTCTGATGAAGAGATATGAGAAGACACCCCAAACTACCCCTTCATGGAGGTGAGAGGTCCACAAGCATTGCACATCATACATGTTTTCAGACTTTTTCAACATATTGATCAATTGATATTTTTTTTCCTTCTCTAAAAAACAGTATTTGTTATATATGATGGCTCTCTGGGAGGGGCAGAAGGAGTGATACATGGGATAATTATGGAAACATCAATAAAAACTACATAGGTAGGGCATATCTGAGACCAGATTTGCATTCTGGTCCTCCTGACTCCAGGTCGGGTGCTCTGTCCATTGCACCACCTCACTGCCCCCTCACTTATAAAAACATAATTGGGAAATAGTTAACAAAATAAACAAAAATACAATAGGCCATACAGTTAATATGAGGCTTCCTTAGTTAATATATGCCTGCAGGGATCCTAGTGTATGGTTTTGTGGCCCCATTTTATTTGCATTTGACACCACTGTGGTAGGGGACACAAAGACAAATAAAGAGAAAATAGCTATAGAATACCTGAAAATGTAAATCATATATCTCTTTATTATTAGTTTAATAGCAGCTCACTGGATATGATATAGTGCCCTGTTCTCCTGACATCAGAATCTGTTCATGAGTTAAGATGCTCAATAAACTACTTTCCAGTTGAGCTCACACCCTGGTTCCAAGGTCAAACAGGCTTGCCAAGGCAGGTGTATCTCCACATCTGTCAGGAGCACACATTATTTATCTGGCTAATTCAGAGGCCCAGCAAACCAGGGCCACGAAGTGTGCAGCAATGGAGTAAGAGCTGGCAGAGAATCTCAAGAACTGGGTCCTGGGAACCTTGGGCAAGTTACTGCTTGGCCTCTCTGGGCCTCAGCTTCTCCTTCTGTAAAATGGGGGAACCAGAGATCTCTAAGGCCACAGCCTGACAGGGCTGAGTTAGAGAGGAGATCACACAGTCCAGGGGCTCTCACAGTTGTCAACTTCAAGTTGAAACAAAATTTTAGCAGACCCATGTAGTCAAATCCTCTCACATTGTTACTCTTAATGCTTACTGACAACATAAGGTTCATTAAAACCAAAACAAAACCCAAACAAAACCTTGGGGTATTTTAGAATTATTTGCAGCAGTCTGAGAAAAGCTGATGTAGTCAACCCCCTTCCTTTTACAGATACCCCTTAAAATCATACACTATCCACATGGGAAAAGTGTCCAAATCCCTAATGACTAAAAATGCCAATTTAGACAACTTTAAGTTTTCTATCTGCTTCTACTTAACAAATTGACAAAGATGATAAAAGAGGGAGGCAGTTGATGTCGTTGGAGCTTGGAAGACAGGTACATGTCTATACTGTAAGTTAACCACTCTGGAAAAGTCTGGGAATTCCTGAGACAAGTCACTAAGCTGTCCACAATCTTGGACCCACCAATCTCATGATTAGGCATATGCCCCAGTGAGGTCAAACAGAAAGAAAAGCTCTAAGGATAACAAAATACTCATAACAACACTTTCCACGCTATCAAACAACAGGAAACAAAGCTGATGTACATGGACGGGAGCGGCTGAACAAATTTTGGCATGCGGTTGCAATGGAATATTTTTTCACTGTACAAAATAACCAATGTGAAGGTTTGGAGAATCATGGGAAGACATGCATGAGCTGAGCCTGAGGGAGACGAGCAGAATCAGAACAGTACACACAACAGCTAAAATCATGCAAACCAAAGCAAAGAAAACAAAAAGAAAGCCATGCTCTAAGTAGACACGATGACCCCTCTGGGCCCCTGAGAGCACCAGGGGAAGGCACTTTTGCTGTTGTTCCCCTTTCAGGTCCGGTCAATGGGCCAAGGGCTTTTTGCCTAACTGACTTTCTTTGTAATTAAGAGCTGGAGGAAAAGGAGGGGGAAGGAAGCCAAAAATGACTTCGATGTCAAAAGAAAAGCTATTAACTAAATGTACCGATTCAAATTAAAAAATAAAGCCTGCGGACCTGCCGGAAGACGGCCAGCCTCTGTGTTAGATTTAAGAGAAGGCTCAAGTCCCAGCAGCCGGCAGGCCATCCTGGTAATGCTGCCTCCAACAGAAGCTGGTTGGGAATCTGGGAACGCACCCTCAGGAGGGCCCTTGGCCAGGGTCCAGGCCTACCTCTCAGTCTGGGGACAGAGCCCACCTAGGAGTCCCCCTCAGCTTCTCCCGCTCTTACTTCTCCTTCTGCTTAAGCTTTGTTGCCTCTCCTGTGTCCTTCCTCTCAAGTGCTATCACTAGGAGGTCTAACTGCCCGAAGGTCAGACAGCTGAGTATGGCTTACTTACACCAAGCAGAGAATGATTAGCCTTTTCATCAGTCAGTCAACAAGCATTTTTACTAAGTGCCTACTATATGCCAGGCTAAGCCTTTTCATAAATGGGGGTGGGGGGAGAAGAGGGGAGTGGAGGAGGGAAGCGTAAACTAGATAAATGATGAAATAGTCCTAATGACCAAGGGCCTGGAGTACATTTCTCTGAATCCCAAGGTCAGAGGGAACCCCAGAGACCATATAATTTAGCTCCTTCCTGACCAAGAATCACCTTCATCACTCCACAAATGGCTAAAGAGCACAGACTCTGGATCCAAAGGTGCTGGGCTCAAAACCTGCCCGACAATTAGTCTGACCTTGAACAAGTCACTTAATCCCCTGGGGGTCTCAGCTGCCCGGTTGGACTGCCCCCTCCCACCCCAGGTTTCTTCTAGCCGTACTTCTGTGACCTACTCTCTTCATGCTGCCCATCCCATGGTGGGAGAGCTTTCATCGCTCATAAGGTCTCACCCCACCCCACCCCACCCCCCCCCCCCCCCCCCCCCGCTGAATGGAAAGAGGCGGCCTAAGTACTGAATAGAGTTTGCACAGAGTTTCAAAATCTCCAAATGGAGTGGAAATCGGCCCCTCGGCACCTTCCACTAGTGGAGGGCTTCACGTGGCTCTACTTCCTGCCAATTTCGCTTGCTTCCCTGGGCTTCCTCCTCCACTGCCGCCGCCGCCTCCTCCTACCCCCAAAGGGGCAACCTCTGCACCAGTTGGCAACCCCACTATACACTCGGGGCTAGGCCAGCCCTCTCGTTGGTTAGCAATATACGGATGATTTTGCCAAGATTCCTAGGTCCCACCCTTTCCTATCTGACACCCCTTCACTCTCCCCGTGGACATTCCACGCCTCAAAGTTGGCGGTATTGGAACCTTCCTTTGGAACCCTGGAGATCCTGAAATTGACATCCCCCCAGCCCTCCCTCCGTTAGTGGTCGTTGGAACCTTCCTTTGGAACCCTGGAGATTCCGAAATTGACATCCCCGCCCCCCCCTCCGTTAGCGGTATTGGAACCCTCCTTTGGAACCCTGGAGATCCTGAAATTGACATCCCCCCAGCCCTCCCTCCGTTAGTGGGCATTGGAACCTTCCTTTGGAATGGGGTCCCCAAACTTATATTCCACCTCTCGGTCAGAGGCCACTGGAACCTTCCTTTGGAAGGCTACTGGATGGTAGGCCCCGCCCCGCCCCGCCCCGCCCCGCCCCATGGTCACTGGAAAATTGCTCAGGAAGGCGGACATCATGGACTCCCCGCTCCCCCAGCTGCATCGGACTCTTCCTTGCATGGCTCCCCCCGTCCCCAGGGGTCATTGGATCGCTCCTCGAGGACGCCAGAGCCCGGGGCCGTTAGCTGCAGGCCGCCTCGCTCCTTGCACCCTCGGACCCCGTCGGAGAATCTGCCCGAGCCCGCGGGGTGTAGGCACCTGCGAGGCCCGCCGCTCGTTCCAGTGCTTCATCTGGTCGCTGGCTTTGTCTCGGTCGTTCGCCATGGTGAGGGAGCCGGGGCAGCGGGCAGCAAAGGCAAAGACGCACAGGCGGTGCGAGCTGGGCGGCGGTACTCCGCGCTCTGCCTCGCAGCCTGGCGGACACCCGTACTCACAGGGAGCTGAAGGAGGCGTCGTCACGCTCCACCAATCAGCGCCCGCCCCTCGGCCGTGCGGCCCTCGGATTGGACGGCTGGCTCTCGCTCTGGCTTGGTTCTAGGGGCTCCATTGTGAGGGGGTGGGTGGGGGTGGGAATCCGGGCGGGAGGGGCCAGCCTGAGAGGAACTCCCGAGGGGGAGGGAAGGCGGAGGCGAACGGGTCAAGTCGAGTCAACAAGCATTTATGAAGCTCCTGCTGGGTGCGCCAGCTGGGTGCCGGTGGTTGTCTTTTCAGTGGTGCCTGACTCTTCGCAACCCCGCACGGGGTTTTCTTGGCAGGGACACAGGAGTGGTTTGCCATTTCCTTCTCCAGTGGATTAAGGCAAACAAAGGTTAAGTGACTTGCCCAGGGTCACACAGCTAGTTCGTGTTTGAGGCGGGATTTGAACTCTGGTCTTCCTGACTGCAGGCCCAGCGTTCTATCCACCGGGCCACCTGGCTGCTTCTCCTGTTTGCCAGACACTGCCCTAAATGGGGCAGGGGAGCGCCCTAAAGGGGACTGGAGGAAGAAGAACCAGACTTTGGGGGAGGGTTGAAGGAAATTAGGATCCTGGCCCGGGAGGGAGCCGAGAAATCAGAAGCCATCTAGGCTGTCCTCGTTTTACAGATGGGGAAACTGAGGCTCACAGAGGTGAATCGACTAGCCCAAAGTCACCCAAGTGTGAAGTATTTTAGTATTTAATGCTTCTAAAACTCCGAAATTTTGACTTGGTACGAATAGGAATGGTTCTAATTCACAGTAACACTCAAGAAAAACTGCAAAAAACAGCTTGCAAAGGGGAAGGATCAGAGGCAGGATTTGAACCCAGGTCCTCTTGTCTCTGGAGCCAGTGCTGTCCTGCAGAAAGAGCACTGGGGAGGATCAGAGTCAGGAAGGAGGTGAGAATGGGGAGGGGGTGGCAGGAGAGGACAGGGGAGGGAGGAAGGCAAGCCCAGTGGTCGTTTTTGACATGTCAGGATGACTTATTAGATCCAGCACCTCCGGGCGGCACCACTCACCTCCAAATGGATCCCAGAACCCATCTGCCTGCCCACCCTTTCCCTACGTCCCTAACCTAGGTTGGTTGCCTGGTCTTCCTTTCCTGTCTCCTAGAAAGAACGTTCTCTCAAGCTCCCTGAGATAGCTCAGGTATGGGGCACCTGAAGAAGTCCCCTCCTGTCTACCTTCCACCTGGCCCCTGCCCTCCTTCCATAGAGTAAGAGTTTACCTGTACAGACTGTATGTAGTGCCTTAAGGTTTGCTGGGCCTTTCCCGTACCTTTTCTCACTTGATTCTTACACCCACCTAGAATCAGACAGGGCTGAAAACAACTGAACAACACCACCAAATATACTATATTTTTTTTTATTATCCCATTTTAATCTGGTTGGTTTATTTGCGAGTGTGGGGCCCCATGTGCTAGTAGTAGGCCATGAGTTTGATATCTCTGATCTGTATCATCGGAGGGAATACACAGCTTGGATCCATAGAAGTGTTGAAGATGAATTTTTGTAAATCGAGGTATTTTAAATGTAGACTCAGCGCCCAAGTATTGCTTTTCCTGCAACTGGATCTACATGTCACCAAGACACAGTTAACTGGGATTAAAAAAAAAAAATCAGATGATTTGGTGAGGAAAAAAAAAAAGTCTAGCAACCTGATTGTTCAGCCAAGAAGACTAAACAATCAGCCTTCCTCCCCTTGACTACTATTACCTGCCACTCACATGCACAGTGTAAAGCGTTCTGCATATTGTACCAAAGGTCAGGTAGCATATGACTGTAATTTTAAAAGAAATGAAGTTGGCATGATACCCAAGTCAAGATAAACATATGCTTCTGACTATCTGCAAGTTGTTTTGCATGTTCTTGATAATTCCTATTAATTAGAACCACTCCTATTCCCTTAGAACCAAAACAAAGTTTCAGCATTTCAGAAATGGATTAAATACTAAAAGTCTTCTAACTCAGCAAGTGAGGAAGGCATAAAAATAAAGAGGAGAATACAAGGGTGTCTCTCTCTCACACACGCACAGAATTTCATAATGGTACTGATAAAGTTCATGGGATATAGTGGGAAGAAATGCTAAGCAGAGATCTTTAGCTCCCTAGCTGCCTCGGTATGATATTTGTTGTTGTTCTGTTGTTTTCTGTCATGTCCAATTCTCCATGACCCCATTTGGGGTTTTCTTGGCAGGTAGTAGGGGTGGTTTGCCCTTTCCTTCTCTAGCTCATTTTACAGATGAGGAAACTGAGGCAAATGGAGTTTAGTGACTTGCTCAGGGTCGCACAGGTAGGAAGAGTCTGAGACCAGATTTGAGCTCAAGAAGATGAGTCTTCCTGACTCGTGGCTGAGTACTCTACCACCGAGCCACCTAGCTGCCCTCTAGTGCAACATAGATTTTGTTAATTTGTGATTTTCTAAATCAGTATGTGACCTGCAGGCATTCCTTTTCTAATTAGTTTTTCTGCAGCTTACTTACATCCACCTTAGGTCACCCAGAATTTGTGATGCTTTTGAGATTGTAGCATTCTGGGGATTTCTAGCCATATGATAACACCATAAGAACACTGCTGTTTAAAAAAATTGGGGATCATCAAACGCACTGGGCAGTTTACCAAATATCATCAAGTCCACTCTTTTCTTCCACTTCAAGGACAAGCTTATTTTCCATGGTCAGTGCCTGACCAAGGCATATGTATTAACTCTACATGGATATACATTGTATCATGGATTACCCATACTACTAAATAACATAATCTGGGAAATAAGCATTCATCATCCACTTGGTTTTTATTATGTGCATTGTTAGGCTGAACTCTTCTGGGTAGTTCAAAATCTTTTAAAGAAGCCTCCATACTATTCTGGAGCTTGATTCAGTCCTAAGTCATTTGAAAATAGGAGCATCAGAAGACCCTCACCATCGGGAAATTTCTCTTCCATTTGTATTTTTCATCATTTGTATATCTTCTATTTTAGTGGTGAACGCTTGGGACAAACACACTTCTGCCTGTGACGTGCCCCCTTTTTGATACTAATAGCCAGAGAATCATTGAAACAAGTTAAGTATGTGGTTGTATTAATCAGAGACTCTTGTATGATCTTAACATACCTGTGAAAGACACCTTGTTGGAAGATAGTAATTAACTTTGCCATTAAATTATATATTATATATATATACACACATATACATATATGTGTGTATATATGCATACATATTAAATATATTTAAATGTATAAAAACAGTACTACATTCAAAAAACAATTCCCTTCTTCCTTTTCTCTCCCCATCCTCTATATACATATGTATGTGTATATGTATATATACACAAAATATACACATATGCATATGATATAAATAGCATATATATATACTATTTGGGTATAAATATCAATTATTCATACATCTTATATGTGCATATACAAATTACTCTGTCTCGAGTCATATAAGATTGCTTATACTTGTATCAGATATCACGGGTACAATAGTATATATACAATTGTGGAGATTTTAGATTATTGTTGTTTTGCTTTCATAAATGTAATATATTTTTGAAAGTGGACCTGTAATTTCACCAGTGGAAGGAGCCCCTGGGAGGAATTTCCTCTCCCGATAGGGATGAGCATCTGCTTTACAACCTATGGTCCTGGAGAGTTGCCTGGACCACTAAGAGTTAAGTGACTTGCCCAGGGTCATCTGTTTAGTGTGTATCTAATCTTTTTCCATGACCCCTCAACTCAGAAATAAAGATACAGAAAGATAATCACTACATATCTTAACCATTGGCATTCATTTGGTCAACTGACCCATGCACTGACCTGAACTCAGTCTAATGATTCCATGAGTAACTAAAGTCAATAATTAGTTGGGTAAATTAAAAAAAAAAAATCCAATACTAAAGACATGAGATACTCTTTGTTCTCTACATAAACTTGGTGTTCTCTCTCTTTTTTTAACCTCTTACTGTCACTGATGGTTTAGAGCACTGAAAGCTATTTCTGTACTTCTGACCAAGAAAAGGAACAACTGCTGCTTTCAGGTGTCACCACATCCTGTGCCTCCGAATACTTTAGGGTGTTTGCACCTAAATGCTACTGAATCTACATTAGCTTTATACATAGAAGTATATGTCTGTTGCTTGTACGGGGCTAGAATATGAAGTGTCATTGTGATGTTGAAATAAAAAAAATTCCTTGCCTGCACTATAAAAATAGAACACGGCTGCAAAAAACATGGGATCCTGTCTTTTTCTGGCGAGGCAGGTGGGGTTAAGTGACTTGCCCAGGATCACACAGCTAGTTAGTATCAAGTGTCTGGTCTGAAACCAGATTTGAACTCAGGTCTTCCTGACTCCAGGACTGGTGCTCTATCCATTTCACCACCTAGCTGCTCCAGCGTATCTTTTTTAAACCAAGATATATTCAAAAGGTTTTACTAAAAAAGACTGTAAATAGCAAGACAGACCAATATCACACACTCCTAAAACTTCCTTTTTTCCCCTCTGAAACAAAGTAGTGTCTATTGAAATATTTGTAATATATATATATAATATATATATATATACAGATACAAGACATAAAATGTATCTGTAATAAATTTGAATGCTACATCATGACTATCACAGTAGGTCAGATCTTAGGAGTTAAATAGATATTTCAAGCTCATCAAATAATAGGACTATGAACTTGGAGCTGGATGGAAACTTGAATCCAATCCTCTCATTTGAAAAAGGAAACTGAGGCCCAGAGGTGTTAAGTTCCTTGCTTGAGGTCACACAGGCAGTAACTGGCCAAGCCAGGATGAACATTCTAGATCTGTTGTTCTGTTGCTTCTAACTCTTTCCCCCAGAAAGAGAAGCAAAAATGTGGAGGAATTGGGTGACTAATTGGGTAATTGCTTCTTCCCCAGTGCAGAGGGAAAAAAAGATGTCTTGGATGGCTCGCCCATCATT